ATACAAAGTAAATACAAAGTAAATACAAAGTAAATACAAAGTAAATACAAAGTAAATACAAAGTAAATACAAAGTAAGGAGAAAACAAATTACATATCTCGTGTAAATGAGTACGTACGTACGTACTTATGTATCAATACCAATATATTCAATAATTCAATACATTCAATACATTCAATACACATATACGTACGTATGTGCGTATGTAATCGTTATAATCAATGAGCATGTGAGCGGGTGTTATCACGGTGACTATTGCAGCAAACACGTCATGCACGAAAGTGAATTAATGGATGAAGATTCCATGGATTAAGCGTCAAATAAAAGATCATATATGACGGATAATGGATTAGGATAACGTTAGTACGTACGCACAAAATATTAATAAAGACAAATTCAACGGAGCAATTTTTAATCGTATATTTTTACGTGTATTGTCACACATATCTGATATGTGCCTCACAACTTTATTACGTATAAAAAATTTGGCGTTTTGCTGTGATACTATTTATGTCTATGATACTATTGCTTGATGCTATTGCTTGATGCTATTGCTTGATGCTATTGCTGGATGCTATTGCTGAATACTAATGTTGGATACTATACGTATATGTTATATATGTTATATATGTTATATATGTTATATATGTTATATATATGTTGTGTTAACATTTATTTTTAGATCTACAGAATTATTATATCTTTATGAAATGCCAACTAAGAAATATTGTATTCATATTGTATGTACACACTTTAGAAATACATAATACTATATCAACATTTAAGGAAATTGAAATGGTTATTGTATTTTTTTAAAACTTATGTATACGTATTATACGTATCATACGTATCATACGTATCATACGTATCATACGTACGTACGAATTATACGTACTATTATGTATTATACGTACAGTACTATTACGTATTATAATTATACATACGTACTAGACGTATTTCGCGTTTCAAACGCTATTCCATAACAGATAATAAAGGTGTCAATGTTTTTTTCCAATTATTCTAACACTATGAAAGTTAGAATTTTTAAATCTATCCAGTTCAGTATTTAATGAATTTAGCGTTTCATCAAATTCTTGTGGCGATTGTCCTAAATATGAAGATAATGGATCACGATATGACTCCATTATTAATGTAAAATAACTTTGATACTGCAAGAAAAAAAAATTTTTTTTTTAATATTAATAAAAATATCGATATCGATGATACCAAAATTATACCAAAGTTTTTTGTTAAGTAAACATACCATCTCTCCAATCGTTCCAGATTTTCCAATTGGTATTTTGCGTGTTTGTTTTTCCAATGAATCGAATTTTTGTGTATTTCGCATTAAATTTTCCAACCCCTTTGATATATCTACTTCAATACCATTCATTCCCAAGAATGCACGACCTGTATATTAAATAACATTAAAATTAAGTCGTATTTATTTTCTTTATTAAAAGAATAAAATGAAAAAAGAAACATACGACTATCACATAATTTCTTCATTATCGGACCCGAATCTTCACAATCGCAACTACCAACCACAATTTCAACTATTCCTTGCGGTTTTGTTACTCTGACCATTTCAGAAATCGCTATTTTCCAATCGTTTTCACTAAAACTTGAACTCAAACAACTCATATGAACATAATCAAAAGAGTCATTCCCATATGATAATCCACTAACTATATCCATTCGTAAAATAGCAATATCAGGTGTAAGCTTAATTTTATGACATGGTGATGCTTGGATTCCTATAATATGTGATTTTGGAAATTCATTTTTCATATCACGAATCCAGTGTCCAGGCCCACACCTATTATATAAAAAATATATAAAAAATATATAAAAAAGGAATACGAATAAGTATCTCTTAGTCTCTTAGTAAAGATTTCTCTTAGTAAAGATTTAAAATATAAATAAAAACTTACGCAACATCTAAAATATGTTTTTGTTCAGTCTGTAATTCTTCTCTGATATCGCAACCAAAATTTCCTTGCCAAACATCTTTTAATATTTTATGTTCCATCTCATAGAGATCTATACAACTTTCATTGCGCATATCGTCATTGCAAGAATTTTGAGTATCTGATCGTCTGAGTTCTTTTGCACTGGATTTGTTTTTAGGTTTTGACCCTTTGGTACTTTTCTTATGTTCATGATGTAACATCGACCTTGTGGATTGATATGAATCAACTGGATTAAAAAATTGTTGTTTTGTGGATGTTTTTCGAGCAATGCTCTTAGAATTACAAAGCCCCATTTTTTATAAAAACGAAACAAATGAAACGAATGAAATAAATGAAATAAATGTAAAAAATAATTGTCCAGCGAAAATAAATTGCGCGTTGTAAATATTTTTAAAAAAGGATTGAAGTAATGTTTTTTTTTTACAAATAATGAATGTTAGTTATGTAACAAGTTTAATATTGCAAAAAAAAAGAAAAAAAAAAACGAGAGTGGAAATTTTCTTTACAGACAGAAAATCTGCTTATTTTTTGTGATGAATAAAAAAAACCAGACTTTATATTTAAAAAAACAATAAATGATTTTCACGATTGTCTGTCTTAACAGTTACAACTTTTAACTGATAGAAATAATGCTGATCAGAAATTAGTATAAAGGTCATTTTTGTACGCAATAGAAATTCCTACTTGTCTATCCGTCTATCCGGACTATCCGTTTTATTTTTGTGAATCGTGGTACATATATAAGTACGTACGTAATCCATGCCATATGCAATGGAGATCCATTAATATTATACTAAAGTTTTGTAAATTCCCATTCCATTCAAATTTTATTAATTTTTTTTTTTTTTATATCTGTCTATATCTGTCTATGCGTGCTTTCGTATAAATGTGTATAAATTTTTTTTTTTTTTCATTTTGTCCAAATATTGACATCAATACCTGCTTTTTGTTACTTTTTAAGCTATGTGCATGATTCAAATGTTAATAGTCCGCAGTTTGTTATGCATTTATCCCGTTCATTTATTATTTGACTAGTACAAATAGCATTCTTTAGGAAAAGTTGATGTCCATTGATTGAATTATTGAATATGAAAAATGGCTCATATGTTTACCGGGTGACTCCCGATATTCAAATTTCTTACGCCATGTTTCCATGTCCGTCAGTTATACAATATTTACAGGTGTATCAAGTCCGTCAAATTTAAATTATATACTGTATATATGTATTATGTTTTATGTTAATTGGTTGTTTTTTTTTAAGGAGTGTCTCGGTTTATTTAGCTTAAAAAAAATATGTTTTAAACATCAAATTATTAAAAACAGAAAATGTCAACTAAAACTGGAAAAACTGGAAACATAGATTAAAAGATTATTTTCATCTTATGATATTACTAGAAAGATAGATAAAGATTTTTCATCTTTGATTGTTTTTTGTATGTACATAAAAAGAACCAGTCCTTGTTACTATCCATTATATGAATATAAAAGAAATATTGTAACAAAGATGATAGTAAACTTGACATTGAAAGAATCATAACATTCAAAGTCTAGAAATTAATTTCTTTGAAAATTCGGATCTGTTTTTACGTTTTCCATTATGCCTCCCATTTTTGGTTTAGAGTTGTAACCTATTTTCGGGTTACTTTCCTATTCTGTGCTTAGAGTTCTTGCTTAGAATTTCTTAAACTTTAATACGTACTTGTTTTTCCATTGAATGGTAGCATTTTATTTATATATATATATAATATATATTTATTAATACAAAAAAAAAAAAAAAAAAAATCTCGGATATGAAAAACATTCTTCGGCTATGGTTAGTGTTTTTTATCAACTATCTTTTTTTTAGTAAGTTTGTAAAAAGAAAATAAATAATAAATATCATATATAATACATATTATACCGATAATGTTCATTAATAATAACTAATAATTAACATTAATAAATATATAATACATATTATAACATTAATAATAACTAATAATTAACATTAATAATTATATACGTATAAGATATAGTAAATTACTAATACATAATGATAATTTGTTCGTATAACAATAAGTATTGACATTTTGACATATATACTCATATATAATTATTAATAATATATGTATCATCGACCGATCTTAGACTTAACCAATTTTGATCAACCCTGAATTATTCATGTAATTAATTTAAAGTATACCAAATTTCGTTAGACAAAAATACACAGACAACGTGAATCACGCATCTTTCCATGGAATTACTTGATTGGATTTACTTATTTTAGCACTTTTACCGCTACAAAGGTCCAGAAGCCGTGGCTTCGTGCTAGTTTGGTGTTAGTATTGTTGATCGGTTAATTTGACTTGTACTATAATATAAAACTTTTTATTATTTGTTTCGAATGAATTGATTCTACTTTTTCAAATTAATTATTTGTTTATTCGTTCTTTTTTTTTTTTTTTTTTCTTCTTTTCTTCCTATCCATCTGTGACTAACTCCGATTGATAATTATTGTGTTCATTCGTGTTACCACCGGTCAACAGATGTCAAAAAAAGAAAGATTATAATGAAAATGGAGTACAGAATAAGCCTGGCCAAATCTGAAAATTTTACGGACTAGCCGGGCATAGTTGGTTTTTGTGAATTTACTATTTCACTAATATTCACTAATATTCATTAATTTTCGATAATTTTCGATAACTTTCACTAATCTTT